CTTATCACCTGGATCTCCTCCTAGAGCACCATTGAGTTCTTTGTAACCAAATCTCTCTCAGAGGGGCGTGGGGAGGGGCTCCTTATTTTCATCTAAAGTAACAGACAGAGAGCTGAAACAGAGGGGATTATGGGTAATGCTGCAATGATCTGTTTGGTGTTTCAGCCAATCAGACATGTTCTGTATATATCTGAGACCTATAATATATGGATGAAACTCAGTATAATAGGGGACCTTTAATACAATAAGTACACGGTTTTTGTTGCTCCTTTACCCCTGAGGCCATTGCATGATGAAATCCTAAGATAGCTGCAGTGAGACTGTGGCAAGAAAATAAAACATGTTCCTACTTGGATATGTCACAATGTGCAGAACAAAGTAGGGCTGCTCGATTATGGCAAAAATCATAATCTCAATTATTTTGGTCAATAATTGATATCACGATTATTAAAAACGATTATCCATTTACTTTGAAAACATCCATTTATTGAAAAAATAATTTGACCAGTATGTTTTTAACAGTTGATTTCCCTGAATAATTTAACTGAAAAACCAATAAAAAAAAAAATCGTTTTATTCCGATGATGTTGTTTTCATAATCATTGCAGGCCAAAATCGTAATTGCGATTAAAATACGATTAATTGAGCAGCCCTAGAACAAAGGTGTGATTTGTCATTGTGTTCTGCAAGAATTTAAAGGTATTAGAGATAATGGTTCTGGTTTCTGCTGCCAGTCATTCGAAGAAGCAGCTGGGGGCTGTAGGCATAAGGGAGGGAGGGTGGGGCTCATTCAGGGAGCTGCAGGTTCCCAGGACTTCCTGCTCCGTTTCCCACATTCCTGAACTCTTCTGAGCCTCAGGTTTCAGGGCAGAACACACAGATTTGGAACAAGGCTTAACAGGAGGAAATGTGTCCATATGCAATCAGATTTTTCTTTTTTAAAGCAGCTATAATCTGTGTTTAGTGTCCTGTCTGTCTGTAACTTTGTGTGGTAGTGTTAACACTGACAGGTCTCTCTTGAAAATAAGACCTTGTGTCTCAATGAGATTTTACACCTGTATAAATAAAGGCTAAGAATAATCAATATGTTTTACAATACACAATAACTTATGTGACAAGAAGTGAGGAACACAGAGCATTATCACAAGACTCTGCAGTTCCCATCAGCTCTATAGATAGATACCTATAGAGCTGATGGTATGCTATGGAGCGTTATCATTTATTTTGCCTCATGACTCTCAGTGCTCCCAAAGAGTTGTTTTTTTAGACTGCTGTTTTTAACAGAAAAGCTACTATAAGCAATTCTATACCTTTCCGAGCACCAAACATTAGACAGGCACTGTTTACAAATAGCTAGTGGACATATACACTTCTTAAGAGCTATATGTTTACCTCCTTGGTTGTTAGACCAAAGCTGAGCGAATATTAGCCTTAGATTCCTCAGGTTGACAGAAACGACAAATGTATGTTAATGTTGGTTTGAGTCTGCCCTGCCCGATATGTAAATGAACTATTTGATAACACAGAAGCACAGGAAGCATCAGGCAGATGTTTCAAGTGTTAAGACTGAGCAAAAAAAGATTCAGTGACATCAAAACAATGAGACGTTAAAACGCTCTATCGACCTGAAAGAAGTTGCAAAAAGTGCTAATATTGCATTTCATATGATCATTTGGTCCATTATGAATATAAAAACATTGATCAGTGTAGCTTTAACCTGCAGGTTCTAACATATGGATCCAAATGATTGCAATTGACACTTTCATTTCTAATTTCTTCCTTTTTGTATTCCGTGCCCTGGATGGATTTGACGTATCACAAAGGACTGTTGCCGGGCAGATTACAGATATCCAGTCTAGCACCCACTCACCCACTTTGCGGAGCTCGAATGACGTGTCGAACTGGTGTCCTGCTGCCAGGAGGAGAACAGCGTAGTTTATCCCAGAGTGTAGTGTTGGCTCTGACTCAAACCCCTTTTTAAACCTGAGAGGAAAAAGGAAAAATAATGACTCCAATAAGCACTTTGCCTCCAAGCGGTGCGTCATACAACATCACTAGCATCTCTAAGAAACATTATGTTCAAGGGGCTTTCTGAGACAATTCAAGATATAAAAACAATTACAGCCATATTGAGTTGGGACCACAGAAGGGCAAACAGCGACTGAGTACTCTCGCAAAACAAGACATTTTCATTTATTTAATGAGCAATCTGTTGATCCGAAGGAAGGGGAATGTTATTAGGGGAGCCTGTGCTTAGCTGTGACTTGGACATGATGATAACAGCCAGATGGGAGCACAATAACACAAACAGCATATCTAATCGAATAAGATACGAGGCCTACAAAGCAATTTCCAGATGGAAGCAATCAACAGCCTTCTGGTATTATTATTGCTCTGTCATTAAGTCAACTTCCGTCAGTTACTGTTAGCAGCCATAAGCTTATAGGTCACTGAGATACTCATGAGGAAATGGCGAACTAACGAGTAACAAGTAATAACCTTATTTGCCTTACTGGATCCAGCTGTAAACCCTTGTTGTGCATCTCTTTTTGGTAACACGTATTGCAGAAGTACGAACACATCCTGCAGGTTTTTCATGCTGTAAACATCCAGTTCAATCACTCGAGGTGTTTCCAAAGAGACTGTCTTTTGTCATTTGAACCTTTGCACATTTTGTTCTGTACAGGATGGAAGTGTTGCATGTTGTTCTCGTGCACATTTGCTTTAAGGCGTAACAAGTTGTGCAACCTTTTGTATGTCACCCTGTAATTGTTTGCCCTCTATAAAGAGTTGTACCTTTATGATAACAGCTATATCAGTGCCTTTAAATCCAGCGATTCACCTGGAAGGAATCTATCACGCATCTTCCCCTTCCAAACATTTCTTCTAACTATATTTATATTAGACTTAGCATCTGGAGGAGCTCTCTCACCATTGAGTGCTGCTGTCTCTGCTCGGCGTGTCGGTGAAGTGAGACTCCAGGAACATGTCCTTATAGATCCGTCCCACCAGGCAGTAGATGTCCGAGGCGACCTGCTCCTCCCCGTTCACCAGAGGCAGCATGATGTCCAGAGCCTTCTGTCTGTCGCCCGGCAAGTTCCTCCTACAAACACAGTCAGAGAGGACGAAAATCAGGAGTCAATCTTTTTGTACCCTGAAGAAAAACTAATCAGCTTTGAGCAATCTATCTATGTATCTATCTGGACATCTGTCAGTTTCAGGTTCATATTTGTATTTAGTGTCTCCACTACTGTGACATGTCTCCATGCTTTAATGTTCAAAAAGCTCTTTATTTTTCTCATACTGCCTGCAACACCTCTTTTCACCCTCTGTCTGAAACCAGAGCCCAGTCTGCTCTGATTGGTTAGCTGGCCGGCTCTGTTGTGATTGGTCAACTTGCTTAGAGATGTCCCGCCCCTTAGCCTATCACGTACAATGTGTTGGAGCGCTAGCCAATAGAAGCGCAAGTGTTACAAAGTTATGTCACTATGTTACAGAAGTAAACAAAGGAGTCCGATGGAGGTGTTTCAGCAGGAATTGTAGCCATTGCAGAACATTTACATGCACACAAACCTATATAACACACTAGAGGAAAGAGAAACCCCCTCTTTAAACATTGTATACTTCTTCTATACAAGGCATGAGGAATGCTTTGCCTGTAAAAAGTTGTACTCTATGCTTAAAGTGAGCTAAAATACTGTATTCTGTTGCATCATGGGAAGTGTAGTTTTGTAGCTTGGCCAATCGTCTTTTTTAAGCAAGTCTTGCAAGTCCTCTACACTAAGGGAAGTTCACTGCTGATTGGTGGATTCATTCCAACTTCTACAAGGTGACTTATGCTGCATTTAGAATTGCCTACTCCCAAAGAAATCAACACATTTCAACAGGTTGGTTTAAACACTCCACAGTCCATTTAACAGATGCTAATTCCTCACATCAACACACAACTTATGAAGGGAGTAACAGGTGGCACGCCTGCTCCACTTAACAAGGACGTAATTAAACAGTTAAGAGAACAATAGTAAACCAGGTCAACTGCAGAGCACTTAATATGTCACATGATCCAGAGCTAGATTTAATCTCATGCATTCAATAACAGTTTTTTCTGATACTTAAATGAATGTGCATGTGGAGTATGTGTATGTTTAAATAATCACCTCCTCCCCTAATTATGCCCCTATAATAAGCAACCCATTTAAAAACCACAAAGGAAAGGAACTGCAACCTCATGAGGTGTTAATTGATTGGATGTTTTGCCAGCGGAAGCTTTTATATTTCCTGTTTTGATTAAACACTGTGCAGAAAAGATGTTATTAATGGAACTGCTTCATCAGAAATAATAAAACAAACCAGGAGTACAGCTGGCTGTCTAGTATGAGCAATCAAGGTTGGATAAACAAAACCATTAAATCAAATTCCCTTAATAGATTTACTCACAATTCTAATTACAATTCTTAATAAATAAAGGATATGAGCCACACCAGCTTTTAATTATAACTTTAATTATCAGTTTTTTTGGTTAACTTATTTGAAAACAAGACCTTAAAAGGTAGGGTAGGTAAGAATGTAGCTCGAGTGCACTAGAATTTGAAAGTACGCAGCCGAAAAAAATCTGCCCCTTCCTTCAGACTTCCTTACATAGCCCCTCCGCCAACACACACGAACGTGCACATGACCAATGAGGGCACGAGATAAGTTTGTGCAGAGGTGGAAGGCTGACAGGCAGGTAGGCCATCCAGTTACTTTAGCCGGGCCGGCTCAGATGATTGGTCGTGCTTTTTACAGCGCCACGGCTTCCACAGATGACATTTTTTTATTGGCAAAGCATTTAATATATTCATTGCTATCGGGATGTTAAGAGCATTCCATGGAATATAACAAAAAGTGTTTCTGAAGTGAATTACCTACCCCACCTTTAATGGAAGTTAAAATGTTCAGTTTTGTTAATTGGACTTTTTAATCATTTTAGAAGCTGTTGTTTTGTTTGTTTTAGTGTCTTTCACTCATACTTCTAATGACTTTCAAATGTTCTTAATAAGTTAATGAAGAATACAAGACAGGAAATGCCATGGTGGGATATATCAGGGACACACAATGGCCGATTAGAAAAAATATATACTGTACAACCTATCAGTCCCATTCAGGAACAGTACTTTTGGTCAGTCATCATTCTCGGTCACAGCAATACAAAACTGGAACTCTCTACCCACTCAAATCAAAGACATACATACACATACCACCTTCACAGCTCACTTAAAAACATGGTTCACTGAGAACTACACCTGCACACACTAGTCTGTGTTGTTGAGTATGGCGTGAGTGTTACATGTTGTGTTACATCAGGGGTGTCAAACTCAAGGCCCGGGGGCCAAATCCGGCCCGCAACCTAATTTGATGTGGCCCGCAAGAGCTTGCAAAGAATATAATATACAATACAATTGGTGTAATTGTTGAATATTTACTTTCAATTATTTGCCCTAGACTTCTGCTTTCAGACGTAGTTATTTAGGAAGATATTACCAGATCTGATAATAATCCAATGCAGAGGCAACGATGTAATATAATACATTATTTAATATATATTATATATTTACATATGTATATTTATATAAATTACAACCGGCCCTTTGAGTGCAACCATAATGCTGATGTGGCCCGGGATGAAATTGAGTTTGACACCCCTGTGTTACATGTTGTGATCATGGATGTTGCCCCTCGTTTATGTGATTGTGATGTGCTATATGTGACATGTACTGTATGTAGTAACGTGTGTTGTTTATTTTTCTCTTTTATCCATCATTTTTGCCTGTATCTACTTGTCTTTCATCCTTTTTATCTTATTTTATATTTTTTTATAACTATAATAACAATAATGCTGTTGATATATTGTGATTTTAAGGGTGTCTGGCCGGGGGCAACAGCTGGAAATTAGCCATGTCGGCTAAAGCTGCTCCATTTACTGTTTTTGTGACAGTTCATCGATGGGGACTGTCCACGACATTATAAATAAATAAACTAAACTAATATATACATTAGAAACATATATACTGTACATAGTATATATACATGTATGGTATGTCCCCTTCAAAGGAACCTGTGCAATGCCAGCTACAGGATTGCCTGAATTGCCATGATATATAAATCAGACAGGATAAAGATACCATCATTACAATAATCCTCACATCTGTACAAACGACTTGTTTGTTATTAATATCCACTCAGACTGATATCGCTTATATCTTCAGGGAATCCTCATTGTTATGCTAATGTAGCAGTGAAATGCTTCAGAGCCTCTATTCCATCGGGGTCATTTTTCTTCTTCGGGGATGAAATCTCAATAAGGCTTTGTTCCTGAGATAATGAACGTGTCAAAACCCCGAACTTCATCAAGGAAACAAGCGGTGTAGCGAAGAATTAAACTCTCACCCCCGGCTGAATGTGTGATATAAACACATCATGGCTCCTCTACAGAGTGTGAAGGATACATAAAACATAGGAGCTGACAGCTATTACCATGGAGACTGGCCAGAGAGAAGCCCTGCTCTCTGCTAACACATCTCTATATTTCTTGCTTACTTCTCTCCAGAGTGCTGATTTGAAGAAGGAGATTCTCCCCTCGCTCCTGTCAGCCCCCCGCAGCGCTAACACTGGCCAAGAGGCTGAGCCCATTAGTCCATACACACTCCATCTGCAGCTTTTTCTCTTACAAGCAGAGCACTACACACCAATCACTGAGCGAATAAATATAATCTCAAGGCAGAAATAGTGGGTCAGAACTCAGTAGAAAGAGTCAAGGTAATTATCGAGTTCACTTGAAGGAGAAAATTAATTACGTTTTTTTATTTATTTAACTGAATGACTCTCTCCTGCAACGTGCAATAAGACAGCTTTTACAGACCATGTGATTTGAATGTAATTATTGTTTTTTCATTGGTTAAATGTCAAAGAAACAACACTTTCTGAAAAAGAAAGCTTCTATTGGGAAGCACTAAACTGTCCACTAGTAGAGGGCAACATGATAAAATACTCGTAATAATTACAATGTTCCTACTAACTAATGGCTTCTCTAAAGCCATTTGTTTTTACTATGGCAACAGAGGGTATAATTAGGGGATTTGAGTGGGTCAGAGGCAAAGAGGAGCTGCAGGGAGGCAACGCTAACAATATTGGATAATGATTCTAAAATGCAATAGTAATAAACACAAGGGACTGAGTTGAGAAATTGACAAAATAACAAATGACAAACTCTGTTTTAGTACTTTCCAAAATTACCCATTAAACATTCAAGGATATCTATGATGTAAAAAGATCTCAAGATGTAATGTATTTAATTTAATTACGTTATTGCATTCTCAACTGACTCCCCGAATATTAACGGTACGTCCACACAGCAGCTTTAAAAAAATCTTCCACGCTTCTCTGCCGGGATGACGTCATTTTGCCTCGCTTTTCGCCGAACTGCATTGTGGGGAAGCAAAGCGAAGATTTCCAGGATTTCAGGATTTTCACGATTCAAAAGTTAAGTAATGTTCAACTTTTGAAGCTGAGCTGGAAGCGTCAGCCAATCAAATCCCGTTTATGCAAATCTGACAGTTCAAACCGCGTGCAAGCCAATCAAACCACGTGCAAGCTGGAAGAGCCAGACCGCAGTTCATTTCCTCATATTCCAAACGAGAAATTACGGTAGCAAATCACCCGGTTCTTTACGACCAGAACTATTTACCGGGATACAAACCGGAGGAACCAGGCATGGAGGGAGGTGGCAGAGACAGTGGGTGAAACTGGTAGGTTTTCGCCTGTTTGGGGAGTTTATATTTATATATATATATATTGCTCGCATAAAATCCCCGAGGTT